ACCAGATTCTTCTCTCAGAGCAGTTTTACACATGTCATTGACCTGGTGCAAAAGAAGAATGTAGTCCTAAATATTTAAAGAGGAATTACTGCCTTCACTAAGTGACATGAAGATGGTCACTCTGGGTGCATCTACATGTGAAATTAAGGTGACACAATGAACTCGGGAGCAGATCAAGCTGGAGTAAACTGCTCCCGGGCGCAGTCTACACGTATGCCTGGGACAGCACCAGTGTGAGCTGGAGTGGAGCAAGCCCCAGAGAGGAGGGGGATGGTCAGCCCCAGGCTCCTGGTGGTGGCAGAGAGCAGCAGAGTGCCTGGCTGGGGCACAAGTGTGCTGATCTGGCACAGCCATGTCACTAGGTGACAGGCAGGAATCTTGCCCCTAGCCGGTCACCATCTACACGTGTGTTTCAGTGCAGTAAATGATCCTTCTGTAAGATAGTACTGTCCCCAACAGTACTATTTACAGTGGAGTTAATGAGTTTACTGTGCTCTAATACCAATGCATGTATAGAAGGTGACGCTTTACTGCAGAGCTACTTAGTCTACTCAGCACTAAAATGCACATGTAAATGCACCCTCTGTGTCTAAAAGCTTGTCTCTCCGAACTACATTGTTGGTCCAGTAAAAGGTACCACCAAAAAAAGAAATCCTTGCCTCTAATGCCTTTAGGAAGAAACAAGCAAACAAGAAACCAAGTGGCTTATTTTACTTAAAATGCTACAACAGTTCATAAACTGGCTGGACACTAAAAACCAAGGACTAAATATTGATATTGGTTTTATGACACATTATATTTTACTTCTACTCTTGAATTTTTCCACACAGGAAAAGTGAGAATGACCCTCCTCTCTTTTGATAGGCCTTGATCTCCCAGTAATCAGCTGTCTGTCTTCTGCTAATTCTGTGTCTGCTACTCCTGAGAATGTCTCTCACCCCTCTCCCTTCTGCTATTTTTCACTATGCTGTGCCTGGCGATCAGAGAACTGAGGAAAAATGGCTTGCATTCAAAAGCTTGATCCCAGCTACATCTAACTTGATCCCAGCTACATAAAGTTGGTCCAATAAAAGATATCCCCCTAACAAAAAAGAAAAGGACCATCACAGCCACAGTGTCGCTCTTACACTATCTTCAATTCCATCATAGAATAAGCAGTCCTTGTGGTCTTGAATCCTGCTGCAGAATTTAGAGGTGGGGAGTAACTGAAAATGGAGATTACAGGTTTTTCACAGAAAAATGTGCTAATTATTGTTTTAATTCAGGACTTTAACAAAGCTTGAAATCAGATTAGGACTACTTAGAATTTAAATTTGGCCAAAGATGATCTTCTGAAGCAGGCTGATCTGAAGTTGCTGAATGTAGTTGCATATAATCATTACCATAGCAATGAAAGTAATCCTATCTGGGTACTGCTGGCACTGCTTCAAGAGACCTGTTGTAAGAACACTGCAGTTAAGAGTTTCTACGGGATCAATTCCTAGGTGCTATTTCCATGGGCAATTTTCCCATTTATAGAAGCATCCTTTTCTCTTCTCTGAATTTCATGACAGCAGTCCTACAAACAGGAGTCCTGTTTATCTAAAGATCACTGGGAGTGGCCCTGCAGCTTTCCCCAGGTTTAGATTTGTATGTGCTAAATACAGTCAAACTCTCACTTCAGTGCTGTGCAGGTGTGGAACTGGCTGATCCTCTTCCCTGGCAAGCTGCTCTAAAGTCTAGATGACATCTGCCTACGCTCCCTTCAGGCTGCCGTATGTTCTAATTGTGACAGTAAGGAGGAACAAGAAATCTTGTTTCTGAATTATACAATACATCCTAAATGCCAAAGGCCCTTGCCCATGTCAAGGATGATGTTTCCTAAATAGAACTAAGTGTATACCACTGCAAAAAGATGTGTAAAACTGAATTTTGCCTCTTACCTTTCTTTTTGCTCATTTGTACTTTCTGTCTCCCTTGCAACAACATAATATTTTAGGACTGAAAATGAACCAGAAAGTACTCCTGGATCCTCAGTCAAAATGTCTAAGCCATGCTCTTTTTCTTCCCTCCTTCTAGACACGTTTAAATGTCTTTTACAAACAATCTGATTAATTGCTTCTCTTGTTACTGTAGTTAACTGCATGTGTGAATGATTTTCTGTAAAAAGAAATAGCACCCAAGTTCCTTTTACTGCTTAGGTAGTGCTTAGTAGGTACTCCCTTACGCAAAAGTGCTGTGAAGGACTTTAATTAAGAAGCCAATAACTAGTGAAGGCAGGCAACATTTGTGCAAGGTGGTTTCTCATATGCTCTTTGGAGTCTGGAAATTAGATAGTGAGGAAGTTAATTCTTAATCACAGGACTGCAGTTTTGAGACTGAATAACTGTTTCGGTATTGAGCTATAATGCACTTTTGCTGGGGTGGCAAATGTGGATCGTGAAGTAATTGCAAGGATGAATATGAGGAAGAGTGGTGCCTTGTGTACCAAACATTTCCAAGCATTCCCTTTGCCTGAGTCACAGGACACACTTTCAGAGACTTGCACTTTGTTCAGTTCTGCATAACAAACCAAGACCAACACTTCCCAAACAGGGTGCCTACCACTCCCTTTTGAAGACACCTTTTCTGAAAAAGGCCTGTGCCAATAGAAGTGGATAGCTCCTGTGGGTTTTGTTTCTTGACAACAACTAGTGAGCTCAGTTTTCAAGCGAAAGGATGTTTCTTCTAGTGGACCTGCAAACTTCATCTGATATCTGAGGCTCAAGCTGAGTTATTTTTATATGCTAAGTACCAATCAATAGATGATGGGTCCTAATACAGCTTATAGAGTCTTTGTTTATTGGTCTTACAAAACTTCTGGAAGTAAAAAGCACCAATAAAGTATAGTTCAGTATGATTCTAAATTCACAAAAAGCAGATTTCTTGTGAAAGAAGATGCGTTTTTAGAGCAGTACTGAAAGACATGGCAACACACACAATCCTCCACATAGTTCTTGAAGCTTCCTCCAAACAAAGCATCTTGACACCACCCTTTCATAATGGACTGGGATATGAGACCACAACCTAAGTTACTGAATAATTACTGTGTAATGGAGGTTGCTAATGACTAGAAAATTACAAGGTATTTTATCATGTTTCAAGAAATAAAAGTAGTTTATTTTACTATTACAGTTTATGGGAAGGAATTGCATATGGGGATAATCATTTGCAAAACAGAAATCATAGTTTTAAAATGGGCCTTCATCTAGTTAAAGTTTTGTACATGATATTAGACAGGTAACCCTCGCCATTCACGGGGAATACGTTCTTGTATCCCCCGCGAATGGCAAAATCCATGAATAGGGCTCTGCATTCATGATCTCAGTGGCCCGGGGGCGGGCACAGCTGCTCCGGCAGTGGCGGGAGCCCGGTGGCAAGCGTTGGAGCTCCTGAGGTTCGGCATTTGCGAATATTTGAAACCACAAAGGCTGAGCCCGCGAATAACGAGAGTTTCCTGTATCTAATGTTTAGTTTGTGGAGAAACTTGGGAAGCCTGAATGCTGCTCAAAAGCATCTTTATAGATTGGGCACTTTAGTAGGCTTTTTTTGGCCCTTTAATAGCTGATTGAATCAACTTTAGACAAAAGTGCCAAAAAGTCCTGCTGGAAATGCTATACAGATACTGCTGATCCAGGCTAAAGTCACGCGCTGCTTCTTCTGGTAAACTGTGGGGTTGTTTTTTTTTTAATGTCTGCAAGCAGCTCTGTGGGTGCTGAGCACCCACCAATATTTTTTGGTGGGTGCTTGAGCCCCGGAGCACCCATGGAGTCAGCGCCTATGCCAGAGACGTGTTTCTTGTGGGACAAATAGCAGCAGCACATATTTGGGATCCTGAGGGACTCCTAGGGCAGCAGTGGCAGCAATATGGGTCAGAGCCTGGCTCTGGCTGGCCAGACTCCCCTTCTGGCGGTGCTTTTTTCACAGCGGTTATTTTTTACTCCAGGTCTCCTGGTATAAACCCCCCCCCACTACACTGCAAATTAGCAGCGTGCCTAATGTGTGTATGTGCGCCACATGTAGTTTGTGGTGCTGCAGACTGCACACGTGTGCTTGTGGGAACACGCCCCAAGGGTCTAAACAAGATAGAGGAAAAGAATTATTTAGGTAATACAAGATAATAGAAGTATGGCATTTTAAAGTGACTGTTAAGACAAGTTTCTAAAACCAAGAAAACAATTAATTATGAGGGCTAACAGACATGTAGAAATTTCCCAAGAAAAACTGACCAGTGTCATCACTTATGACACTTAAAACTGACTTGGATAAATCCTTTGAGATCATACTCAATAAAATAATCTTGCCCTTTGCAGAGCTTGGACAAAAAAGACTTTAATGGAATTCTTTCATGTCTGATTCCCATTTGTTATTACTCCACGTGTGTGTGTGTGTGTGTGTGTGTGTGTGTGTGTGTGTGTGTGTGTGTGCGCGCGCACGCACACACACACACACACATATATCTTCCTCCAACTTTAAATATTGCTTGTTTTCTATGGAAGGTAAAAAAAAAAAAAATAATGTCAAGGTCTTGCTGTCCCCATTCCAAACAAAATGGGTGTATGTCGTGTTAATCAAGTGATGTTGCAGAGCCCAGCTACAGCATTTGTCATTTTCCTTTAAAGTAATGGGTGGCTGATACCTGTCATCTGTCAGGAAACTGTATACTGAATTAAGATGTATTTATAGCCTTCTCAGTTGCTGATCTACCAGAAGCCAAGTTTAGGCTATACCATTAGTAATGCATAATGAAATGACCTAAGTAGAATTTGGCTTTTGGGGGAAAAAGCACATTAAGCTGGATAGCTTGAAGATGCTGCCTTACTACTACCATTGTTTTTGACTGCTAGTTCTGAAATGATAAAAATAAATCCTTCCTTATCTCTCTCTCATCTGTGTTAAAAACTAAGGTATGTAACTGGAATAGAGGTGGTGGTTTAAGACAGAAGATAAACCTTCTCTCTTTTTCTCTCTCTGTTTTCTAGGTACAGGACCTATTTATGCTACAGACCCACTCCTATACATGTTCCTGTTAATATTGCATAAGCTTATACACTTGTTAGTAAACCACTGATGGACTACTTTATCCAATATTCCTCAGCCAAACAAAAAGGAACCTATTTAAAAAGAAAACAAATCCTTGATAAAAACTACAGTTTTAAAGATGGACAGAAAGAGACTGAAAAAGAAGCATGGCAAACTCTACACGGGGGGTAAAAGCATATTTTTGGGGACATTGAGCAAAGTAAACCACCTAAAATAATGCATCTAGTTTCCAGATTATCTTGTGTGAAGCCCTGCTCTGTGCATGGCACCTATGAGTTCTCTATTTTAATGTAATATTTTTTTCTTTTCTAAACCTTCCCTCTGACTATTCATTTTGCACGAACTGTTGAGCAGTTATCTTTATGACACTATGTAAAGATGTTGGGTCAAAATCCTTCTAAAGAAGGGAGATATTTTTAGTAGATTCTTGTGTTTAGATTTTTGGATTTCCTTTTTTCTGTTTTTTAATTAAAGTAAATTATTTCTTTTTGAGACATTTTAATTAAAAAGGCACATCCTACCATAATTAATATTCACTGTCAATAATATTTATTTTTAAATAAAGATTGGAACAAGGTAAGACATTTGTTTATAAACTGTATTGTATATTGCTGAATAACAGTTGAATAAAAAGATTTTGAAATAATATTTCTACAGCTATGTGAATTTTAAACCTTTTTACATATTTATGAATTGGTCTAGCCATTTTCCTAGCTGTTTCCCTTCTGTCTGACTACTCGGAGAGCAAGAATTTAGCTTGTTTTGATTTTCTGCCCATTTGCAACAAGCAGGATAGAGGACAGGTACAGTATGTATTCATGCAACTACATCTCTGAATCTCTGTATATATCTGCCCATTATCAGAAAGGATCAAAGCACCAAGGATGTGTTAATACTTGGTCACAAGGAGAGAGATTTTTTACTGTGCTGATAGCTTCATTATGAAGGATAATAGTACATGATATACGGTGAAAAGAATTATTAAGTAATATGGAATTTTCCAGGTAGGTTGTCCCAGCTTTTACAACAGGGAAATAGAAACAGGTAATTACACTAAAAAATTGCAATAACAACTTAATAAACTATGCTGCATCATAATATATAATAATATATAATCAGTCTGCTGATTGTAACAGTCATTGAGTCCGGTCCTTAGTTCTGTTTACAATATTGAATAGGCCAGGGTGATATTGTGAATGACAATTCTATCTTCAAAGTCATTTTTTTTCGCAACAGATTTCCTTTATAGAAATGATTCACCATGAATAAAAATGTCACCTCTTCCTGAAAAAATAACCAAAATTGTAATTGAAATGTCTTATTTACTAAAAATTGCTTTTGCTGTGTAGGCCTTTGTGTGTTGGTGGGGCAATGTCAGTGTAAAATACTAGGAGGCAAAATCAGTCTTGATTTTTAGGTGAGAACTTACTTCGAATTTTAAGCCTTCCTAGTCTAAGGAATTTGGTTTGAAACATAAATTAGTCATGGCTCTGCAGGTAAGTAGGTACATGGCAGGTAAGTAGGCAAATACATCATTGTGAAGAGAAACTACACAGAAGATTTTCACCAGTGAGCGATTGAGATCAGTAGAGATAGGTGAGGACAAAAATACCCACAAACGTGCAAATCAGGTTCTTTATTTCATTGTTTTTACTTTAAAAGTACAATGTTTTATATTATTTATTTTTATCTCTTTGAAATTCTGAACAATTTTAAAAGATATACTTAACAGGTTATCAGTCATGGTTGATATTAGGAAAAAGTGTAAGTTAATCTTTGTGCATCTGAACAATTATTAATTTATTCTAAAGCCCTAGTGTGACCAACCTGTAGCGATAAATGGACTATTTGGATGTTTTATTTGATTCTTAATTTTAAAAAGTAAGATACATTTTCCAGTGCAAAGAAAACCAGTGCACAGCCTGCTAGATTCCAGTGCAATTGGTTCAGTTTCTTGATGAATTGTGCTGTTTTAGAATTAATTCACCTTGATCAATAATAAATCCAGCTGTAAATGTAATCTTGGTTTTTCAAGATAAGGTTAATTTGTCCTGAAGGATACATTTTTAAAGAGATCATTCAGTACAGTACTGCAGATTCAAAAGTTAGCCACTGCCATTGCAGAATACTGTCTCAAGGAAAGCTGAGCTGTCGGTTCGTGTATAGAGATGTTAAGATGCTAACAGAAGAAACTTTAGAGAGGTGGTGGGGTTTCCAATCCACACAGAAACTATATTCTGACGCAGAATACAACATTGTTGTTGGTTGATATTATTTATTATTTATGCAAAGATGTTATGAATATGGTGATAATTAAACTGAATTTCTCACATTTTCTTTTCAGTGACAGAGGCACAATCCTATGACCATTAACATTTGTGACAAAGCTTTTGTTGACTGTAATAGTGCAATATCAGATCTTTGTCGTGAATCAGAGCAGCAGCCGGCAGCCACCTGACTCACACCGGAGTGTTTAGATTTAGAGTTCGGCAGGCGGGTAGTGATGGATGGAGTGGAATTAACCAGGCACAGACGCGTGTAGGTTACAGGAGTTTGTTTACTTACGTCGCCTAGATAGTGATGGACGACGCAGGTGAGCCTTCGTTCCGTTACAGCTTTAGTTACAGAGTCAAATATGCGCATATAACTTCGGTTACAGAGTCGAGGACATGCACGCAGTTCAGTTACGGCGAGATAATGACGGACGTGGCGCCGAAAACGGACGGTCGCGCTTGCAAGACTTTTTACGTCAATATTTTACGCTGACGGGGCGATTGATTAGGGATTGATCAATTTCCCAATTCTCTGGTGACAAGCACAGGTGTTTCCTGTGAAATCCCCAGAGCTCTCCGCCTTGGGCGGAAACCGTTAAACTATTTATAGGCAGAGGTGTTT